TCTTGAGGCAACATCAGGCTGACAGGGGAGCCCTCTACGGGGCAGGCTCACGTGGGAGGGCTGGTCGGAATGACAGTTCCAGACTGCACATGGACCCTGCGCATGTTGAAACGAGCCCTTCTCAACCTGCAAAGCTGGAGCCCAAGCCTGCGTGGGAGGAGGGGACCCAGCGTTCAGAACCGTCGCGGTCATGCCAGCATTTGTCTTCTCCCTTAGTGAGGGCCGTCACCTGCTGAGTGGGCAGCCGGTGCTCCCCAGCCCTGCCTCCCACATCCTGGAGGGCACAGAGACTGGGGCAGGATGGATGCTGCCTGGTGCCAGCACCGGACTTGGCTGCCGGAAGCCAAGTGGCATCTGAGATGCGCCGGGCTCCTGATCTGACCGGCTGGGACTATTTATACCTGTGACGTGCCCGAACGTGATGCCAGCGTCCCCTCCCCTTTGAGCTGGGTAGAGATCGTCTTTCCAGAATTGAAAGAAGAGTCAGTCCCTAACTCACCTTGAGAGACTCATGGCATTAAGAAGCTTGGAGAATCTGCTTCTCCCGACCTTCTAGCAACTCAAGGAAAAGCTTGAGATATTTAGAGAAAGATCCTTGATTTAAAATGAAAGGGCATTTATTTGTTAGTGACTTGCAATAAGAAGAGTCATAACCCATTACAGAAAACTTATAAAACTTATAAAAAGTATTTTTAAAATCACTCATAATCCCATTACTCAGAGAAGCATATTACTAATATTTTGTTGCGGTCCTCCCCTTTTCCCACATGTTCCCATATACCTATATATATAATTTTGGGGGGAGATCATAGTTTTATAACTTGCTTTTTTCACTCAACATTATCTTGAGAGCATCTTCTCATTTCATTACATACAAAAAAAGTAAACATTGTGTGTATGTCTGCATAATGGTCGGTATCCAGACCAAGCAGGGATCTCTGTGACTTCCTCCAGAATGCAGTCCTTCGGCCTCCCGTCAGAAGCAGAATCAAGGGGTGACCCAAGGTGGCAGTGCTTCTTGCAGGCTTATTTCCTCAAGTCATTCATCTTTAGGGACTGAGATGGAGCAGCACAGCCTCTCAAAAGCAAAGAAATAGATGCCAAGAAACCGGAAGTGTACCGTGCCATGTAGGGCCATGTGGGGAAGCACCAGAGGCAGTCAAGAAGCAGAAGGAGGGGAGGGAAGAGTGGCCGAGAGCCTTTACTGTGGTTTCTGTGGAAGGAACGGATGAGGCAGAGTTTACAGGCTTAAGATTGGCTAGTTTGAGTAATTCCAGTGGACTTTGGGGCAGAAGGCTTTCCCAAGCTGGCCCTGGGATGATTTGGGCAAGGGCGTAAGTGGTCTTGGGTGTGAGAGGAGGTGGTGGTGATGGTGGTGGTGGCAGAGTGTAAGCTCTGGATTGGTTGGTTTGCATATGAAAGTTGTGCTCACAGGCTAGTTACCATCTCTAGGAATTGGCAGTCTCTCCGGGGCCAGTAGGGCCCCAGATATCAAAGCATGAGAAACATATAGTTAATCCAGGGAGTCTGCAGCAGAGATGGGTGAGTAAGGACATCCCCATGTCCACGCAGAGCTCAGCGTGGGCCTTATCCTCAGGGTGGCAGGGGAGAGGTTTACTAATAGCAGCAGAAGGAGGAAGGCAGACAATCCAGATGGTGGAGAACTTCCTGAGTTATCCGTCTCTGACTCAGCTCTGCCATCAGCCTGCTGAGGGACCGGAAGCAAGTCCCTGGCTCCCTGGGCATCCGCTGGCAGTGCTTGCCCTTCAGTGGCAGGAGAAAGGGGGAGAGGGGGATGGACATTTCCTGTGTGCCAGGCACTGTACTGGTGCTCTCTCCGAGATTCTCATCTACATCCTGATCTCAGCCCCATCACACGTGTACTGCATTTTTATGCTGATTTTGCAAATAAGGAAACTGAAGCTCAGGAAAGTGATGGACCTAAGTTAGCTAATGAGGGGCAAAGAAGGGATGTGAACCTTATTCTGAAATCCTCTCTGCCTGAAAGCCACCAGATACACTGCCCAAGACCTTTTGGGATCATTGAACCGCCCAGTGATGAGAATATAAGTAATGTTGGGGATTCAGGAAAAAGGGAGACTGAGTGGAGGCTGGCAGAGGTAAGGCTGGCACAGCCTTGTGAAGGCAGTGGAGGGGCTGGCTGATCACAAGGAGATGCTGCTTGGTCTTAACTTCCTTTGAGAATGTCTTCCTGCTGTCTGTGGATTGTTAATTCATTGTATTGTTCTGGCTTGGTAAGTGAGTGGCAGCTACCGAGGGAACCTTGGGGCTGGATTTTAGTGCCGTGGCCTTTAGATACCACCTAGTTCAAACAGATTGTTTTAAGGAGGAGAAAAAAGAGACCCAGAGAGGGGAAGTGATTTGCCCCAAGCCACACAGCTGGTTTAGAGGCATATCCTAGACGTGTCTGCAAGTCCCCCAACTCCCTGAGAAGCCTAGGCTAAGTCTTCTCCTAATTATCTTTCTGCATCTTTAGAATCTGGAGCTTAGTAGCAGCCTGAGATCCTGGCCTCAGATGACCCAGTGGATTCCAAAAGGGTTAGTGTCATTGGCTCTGGTTGCAAACGATGATCTTTGTGATAAGACATCAGACCTTACTTACTGTTGTGTGACTGGAAAAAATGACATGAGTTACAGCCAAGGTCATGGACTTTCTCATGGCCCCATACTGACACTGTGCTCTCAGTTGCAGACAACAGAATCCATTTTAGCCAAAGCAAAAAGGGATTTATTTACTTATTTTGTTTTGAAAAAGGGATTTATTAAGGATTAGCTAGCACAGACTCATTGGGAAAGCTGAAGAAAGACTCTAGGCTGGCTTCCAGGAATGCCTCCCCAAACTGCGTTGTGAAATTGGGCCACCATGGAAGCTGCTACCTCTGATATAATCTTGAAGGTGCTGCCACCACTGCAGTTTCCAAGAACCATGTCATTAGAAAGAAAAAACAAAACAAGAACCAAAAAAAAAACCCTAAAAAATTTCCTAAATATGTAATTATAATATTTTAAAATTAACTATTAAAATTACAGAGCAAACATTTACAAATATAGTATTTTATAGTATTAAGTATGAAATTATATTTTTTAAATTATTTAAAATACAAATATTTTAAAGAGAAGTCAATTTATTGGGTAAATATCTTAGTATTTCTAAAGCAGCACATACGTTAAGTTTATGCACGTAAGTTCGGCGTGTGAGGATATACGCGAAACAGCTGCTTCCGCGTGTCGGGAAGGTTTGTGGGAAATGCTTGAGGACTGCCTTTATGTTAATTCCCTGGTCGTGGCTCTCAGGGCCCAGCAGCAGCCCTGGGGCCCCACCCCACTTCTGATTCTCCAGGGCTACCTGTCCACAGGCCATTGACCCAAGTTTAGACAGGCTTGACCCTGCAGGATCCTTGATTCTGGGCTGTCATGGGATCCCACCCTCCCAGCTTAATCTGCTGCAGCATCTTCCGGCAACCTCCAGAAAGATAGGCCGTGAGGAGAGGGTGCCCCTGGCCTCTGCCCCGGAGGCCGCCTTCTGCCTCTGTGGCCGGGCTCGGTGTTTTGTCTTGGCAGGAACCTTCCACCCACTCCGTAGTCGGGCAGGTGTTCCCTGGGCTGGTGTGGCTGTGGGAGGCCAGAGGGCCCTGTCCAGGGGACACCAGCTGTCCTGTAGGTAATTGGATAAGAGCAGTCTTGCGCCTACACATCGTTTCCTGTCCCAGCTCTGCCACCTGCCACCTACGTGGCTCTAAGCCAGTGAGTTAACTCCCAGGGCCTGTTCTGGATGCTTGTGGTAACCACTGGTCTGGCACACTGGCTATAAAGATTGATCATGCTAAGCGAAATGAGTCAGACAGAGAAAGACAAATACTATGTATCACTTAGAGGTGGAATCTTAAAAATACTACAAATGATTGTGTGTGCAAAGCGGAAACAGACTGACAGCTATAGAAAATAAACTTGTGGTTACCAAGGGAAAGGGGGTGGGGGGAGGGGTAAATTAGGAATACGGCATTAACAGATACAAATGACTATACATAAAATAGATAAGCCACAGGGATATACGGTATAGCCCAGGGAATTGTGCCCGTTACCTTGTAATCACCTACAATGGAATATGATCTGCAAAAATACTGAATTGCCAGGCTGAATACCTGAAACTAACATAAAACTGTAAATCAACTGTACTTAAAAAAAAAAGAATGCTTCCAGGTAGAGCGAGCTTGGAGGAGAGGGAGCACCTGGCCTCTGCCTGGGGGCCCCCTTCTGCTGGGGGGTGGCTCTGACACGCCCGGAGCCAGCTGGTGTGGGAGACGGCTTGGCTCCGCAGCCCTGACAGCGAGACCTGAAGTGCCGTCTGTTTAGCCTCAGTTTTCTCAGCTGCCAAATGGGGAGAAATCTCAGTCTCACCTCGTCACAGTGTGAGCATGGATGTCAATGAGCTCATGGGAACAGAAATGCTTTTTACAGTAGGAAAAGCACATTGTGCTTTTTCAGCTCTGCTTGTGGCTGTTGTCATGTGACACTTTTCCCAAGAGGAGAGGAAAGGAGAAAAGAGCAGGAAAGAGCAGGACCAGCTGAAGGCCGGGAGCCTCCATGCCCTGACTCCCAGGGCTGCCTCCATCAATGACTGGTCACAGGAAGAGCGCTCATGAGAACATGCCCAGAGCATCCTCCCTCTCCCTCTCGGCCCCTACGTGGAACCAGACCTGCTTCGAATGACATGATTTACTGAAATGGATTCATGCCCTAAATGCTCCCGGGTGGGGGGGGTGCTGTGGGTAATCAGCCATCCAGTGATCAAGCCAGAGGGCCCCAGCCGTCCTGGAGACAGGCTCCCATCAGCCGTCTGCTGGGGTGGGCTGGTTTGCTCTATTAGTTTGACCGAACACCTGTCTCTCCACCCTCACCTTCCCAGTGAGAGCCCCAGCAGGGCCCTGAAAGTCTGGCCACTTCTCTGCACAGTAACCTCTGTTCCTGTTGGTTCCCAGGTACTTTGAATTTTACGAGGGCCCTTTCGAGTACAACTCCACGCGATGCCTGGAGCTGAGGCACGAGATCTTGGAAGTGAAGGTGCTCTCCATGTGAGTGCGGGTGGGTGGCGGGCGCCCGGTGGTGCACGTGGGGATGGGCAGAAACGGCCGGGGCTGGGCGCGCCCACGGAGATGGGACACTTGGTGGATCACAAGAGAGCAAGAATTAGGTCTGCTTCTCGGGGCCTCTGGCGTTTGGAGAGCCCTTGGAGGGCCGGACGCAGGGATGACTGTGCCTGTTTTATGAAAAATGCCAAGTTTGCAAGGTCACCTCTGGTGACTGGGCGTTTCAGTCTCCGGCTCAGTTATCGGTTTCCACGATTGTCATCACTGGGCCCGTCTTGTATGGAGATCGAAGAGGGCACGGGAGCATCTCACCTGAAATTCAGTACTTTGTGGTACAGGCTGAAGCATTGCCCTCTTGCTAGCGCCTTTAAAAATTTTATTTGGTAAAAAATTTTTTAAATTTTTGATTATTTAAAGGAGAAAGCATTCAAGTGGTGCCAAAAGGAATACAGTAGGAAGTTCCCTTCCCACAGCCGCCTCCACCCCCCACCCCAGTTTTCCTCAGAGGCAACCCATGTATCCTTGAGCATCCTTCCAGAGAGTCTGTGCCAACTGGCACCTACGTGTGCATATCTATTACCTTTTTACTTTTACACAAATTACAAGAGAACTGTGCTCCCCCCTCTGCACTCAACAGTATATCACCGTGGCTCCTTCACAATCCAGGCGAGGAAGAGCTCATTATAGGCTAAGCACGTCAGTGTGCTGTGTGTGCCTCCCTCGCAGGGCTGCTGTGAGTTTAGAGGAATTTGTGTCGTGTTTATCACAGAAGGACGTGTGTTTCTTTGAAAGCCGTTACCATTGACCCTTGAACAATGTGGGTTTGAACTGCGCAGGTCCACTTACATGCAGGTGTTTCTCAAGGAGTACTTCAGTGGTGCTGCAGAGGCCGGGGGTGGGGCTGAATCTGCTGTTGCGGGGAAATCTTGGATGTGGAGGGAGGATGACAAGCCACATGTTGTTCAAGGGACAACGGTGCGTCTGGAGGTGGAAGAAACAGAGTTGATTCAGAGCCAGGGGGTGTGGGTGCTTCTGTGGACTCATGGGCTCCTGACAATCCCCAGGACTGCCGTCCACGGCCCACAGGCAGGAGCCACTCCTCTCTCAGCCGTTTGATTTGATTTCCAGCTCACGTGGGTCGCTGAGCGAGCCTGAGCCTTGGGGTCAGACAGACTTGGGATCCAAAGCCCACGCTGGGCCTTAGCAGCTCTGCATCGTTATACAAGTTACTTAACCTCTCTGAGCCTTTCCTTACTTATACAAACGGGGTCACTACGGCCTACTTTTAAGGGTGGCAGTAAAGACTAGCTGCAGTAACGTGTGTATGTAGCCGCACGTGCACATCTGCAGCAGCACAGTCAAGGTTCATGTGCGCCCCCCATCTCCTCCCTCCCCTTTCTTACATTTCTGGGACCTGCAGCAGCAGCTTTTCTGGGCTGTCATTCACAGACTCCATGAGCAGAGTAGCGCAGGCAAGCTCTGGGGATAAAGGCAAACGTCCAGCGGGGATCAGCCGCGTTGATCATGGTCCCTCTTCTGACCTGGGGTCTCTGAACAGGGGGAGCACGAGAGGCAGCTCACCCTCCAGCAGCCCCACCCGCCCTGGGCTGAGCGCGCCGTGGACAGAGGGAGGAGTTCGCTGGGCCGAGAGGGTTCCAGACCGAGGGGACGGTTCGTACAGAGGCCCGTGCTGGGAGGGAGCCCGCTGCATCCCAGGCTCTGGGTGCAGCGTCAAGGGGAAACAAGCCGTGTCGCTGGAGGGGCAGGCGGGGCTGGGCCGTGTGGAGCTTCGCAGTGCAGACTGGAGTCTAGATTTTCTCTGTATCCGAGGGCAGTGGGAACGTGGGAAGGGTTTCAAGCAGGTGGTGGCGGGGAGTATGATGTGATGGGCGTTCGATACACTCCACCGGGCAGCTGTGACTTAGTGACGGAGATGGCTGCCCAGACCTCAGTCAGGAGAGCCTTCACCTCTTCTCAGAATTCTAAGGCCCTTCCGTGTCTCACTCTGGAAGGCCAGAGCACTCTCGTGGAGACCATACCTTAGGGTTTTCAAAGGGTAAGTAATCAGTTTTCTGAATTACAGAATACAGGCGGTTTCTTCATGGCTACTGCAGTGAAGTAACTGAGGGACCCTACAAACCGGCCCTCCTTCTCTCACGCCTCCCCCGCCCCAGCCCTTTTCTCGGTGTTAGTGTGAGTCCCTGCCTGGGTCAGCTAGGGCCACCATAACAAAGCACCCCAGACCGGGGGCTTAAACAATGGGACTTTGTTTTCTTACGGTTCTGGAGGCTGGAAGTCCAAGGTCAAGGTGTCGGCAGGGTTCATTTTTCCCGAGGCCTCTCTCCTCGACTGGTACGTGGCCGTCTTCTCCCTCTGTCTTCCCAGAGTCTTCCTCCTGCACCTGGCTGTGTCCCAGTTTCCCTTTCTTACAAGGACATCAGTCATGTTGGATTAGGGCCCACCCTAGTGAGGTCATTGTAGCCTAACCGCCTCTTATTTCCAAAAAGAGTCACATTCTGAGATATTGGGGTTTACGGCTTCAGTATATGAATTTTGAGGGACATACAGTCCAGCCCCTAATAGTCCTTATCACAGCTTCTATTTAGGGACCATATTAGAGGTTACCTGGCCCTTTGTTTCAAGCCTAAATCTCAACTCTTGGGTGTGATGAGAACCTCATTTCCCCTGGCCATTTGTGCCCATCATTTATGACCTCTGCTCCGAGTGGTTCTGATGCCGCCTGGGCACCGGTGGGCTTCCTTGTGCTTTGGCCCAGAGCCAGGGCCGGTGCTCACGGAGGAGCCCCTGAGTCATCGGGAAAAGGTTAAATCTCCATCTGTGAATGGAGCGGGCTGGACAGACGTGCTCGGGGGCCCTTCAGTGCATGGATGTCAGCTAGCATTCTGTGTGAGGAGACCAGGAGGTGTGTGATTCATCCGGGAATGATTCTGATCCAAAATTACTCTGATCAGTGGGAACAAATCAGCCAGCCAGAAAACTCCCTCACGGAAAAGGCCTCCTTCCCTGACAGTGTCAGATGCATGGGGAGTTATTCTGATGATTTGTTATGAAAGCGCATTGTCCTTAATATTTGTAAAAATTATTTACGATTAATTTTCATCATCCTAGGGCTTCTTTGCTCACACCCAGATGGAGGCCGTGCCTGGGATCTGAGCCTGGGGCCTCTCCTGCCGCCCCTTCCCCGTCTTTCTGGGGCGGTGAGCCCTGCACAGAGCCTGCTCCCGAGATCAGGACAGAGGCTGGGAGCCAGACTGGCTGGGCAGGGCTCTCCGGGCTGGGAGGCCCCTTTGTGCCCAGGCTTCTCTGCGTCTTGCTGTCTGACCCTGCGCATGCTCAGGACGCGTTTGTTAGATGAATAAGAGAGTGGACAAGACCCAGGTGGGAACACAAGAGGCCATGGAAGAAAAGGGGGAGAAAGAAGCAGGAGAATGAGACGATCACCATCTCCTGGGCATGGCTAGAGAAAATCTATTATTACTATTAAATTTATTATTACCAAAGCTTGTAGTAATAAAAGAGCGGCCGCCCCCTGGCCTACCCCGTCTCCTCCATCCTGCTCCTTTCATCTCTTGGCTGTTTCTTCCAGTGATTACCTCCTGACCTCTCAGTACTGTTCTCACCGCATTGAGCACTCACGGACGTCCTGTGCTTGTGGGTGAGAATTCAGCTCCTTTACCCGCCCAGACCCTCCCTGCTGTTTCCGGTGAGGGGTACTGCTATTTTTAGTTCTTCTATCTATAGATCGCCGAAGTATCCTATTTCTTGTTCTACCAGATATTGGCGGTTACCTCTTGATCCTGTACTTTGTAAGATGAGGCTATTAAAATTACCCCAACTTTTTCATTCCAGCCTCTGTCATCTTCTTCTTCTGTCATCCGTGAGTTTACCTTTAGAATGCCAAGGCTGGTACCACTGACGTTCTGTTTGTAACCACAGCAAGCTTTTTGGGGGTTTTCTCTAGAGGCTGACTTTAAAATTTGAAGATCAGAAAAGAGTGGTTCCCACCTGCTTGTACATGGAGCTTCTCATCATCTTTTCCCTCTTGAGCTCTCTGTCTCTATTATGTCCTGTGTTTTTTTTCCTGCCTCTCCATCCAGCAGGCATTCCCCCCAGGGTTTCCCTTCCGCCTCTTGCTCCAGCCTGGACAGGCTGCTCTCTTGATGGGTCACACGCCGTTGTCCCGAGACTGCCCTTCTCTGCCTCCTTAGGTTGGATTCACCCATAGCTGCTTCTTTCTTAGTTTACTTCTTCATTTTGCTTCTACCCATCTTTAACTAAATTCCCCCAAAGGATGGGTTGTACAATATATCCTTGTAGACTCCTGCTTCATTTTTCTTCATAGCACTCACCACTCTCTGACGAGGCATTATGTATCTGGGTTGTTTTTCTTTTTCAATTGTGATAAGAATTGTAACACGAGACCTGCCTTCTTAACAAAATTGTAAGTCTGCGGTGCAGTGTTATTAATTACAGGCACTGGGTTGCACAGTGGATCCCTGAGCTTACTCGTCTTACGTAACTGAAACTGTGCACCTGTCCAACAGCAACTCTTCGTTTCCCCTTCCCCAAGCTCCCGGTAACGGTCACTCTGCTCCGTTTCTATGAAATTGACTATTTTGGATGCCTCCTATGCGTGGAATCCCGCGGTATTTGATCTGCTGTGACTAGCTTATTTCACTTAGGGTTATGTCCACCAGATTCATCTAAGTTGTCACTAATGGTCAGCTTTCCTTCTTCTATAAGGAGCACACAGATCTTACTTTACAGTTAAGTATTTGCCTTTTGGGGTATTTGCAGTTTTTACAGAAAGCTTCAAATTTTCCCTAAGATGTGCACATAGGTGGATAGACATGGGACTCTGCCTATAATTCAGAGGGTTCATGGATTCCCTTAAGACCTTCGGTGGATCCCAGAGTAAGAACCACAGTTACAGTAGTTTTTGGTAACACCCAGCTCCTGGCATCTATTCACTTCCCTACCCATGACCACACCAGAATGACCTCCTTTAAAGAGCACCCGTCTGCACCAGTGCCCGAGGCCAGCCAGCTTTGAACTGGGACACAGCTGGGTGACCCTGGAAAGCTGTAGAATTCCTGACCATAGGATGTGGGGACTGTGGGAAGTCAGGAGAGAAAAGTCATGGCTCTGCTTTTAAGGAACTTACGATCCATCTAGTATCTCCCAGCATTCCTGAGAACTGCAGCCAGAGGTGTTGCTCAAAGGGGAAAGGGTTCTGTGATCCAATCCTTTTTGCTGGTTTCAGTGAATGCGAGAATCCTACATGATCTGGACATTCCCTTTCCAGGAAGTGCTTTGGGATATCATGATGCTGAGATGTCTAAACCCGACTGGCATAAAGTCTTGCAGATGGTTTGTTGAGGCAAAAGGAGCACGTCTCAGACTTCTCATCATTTCGTATCTGTCACTGGAAATTGTGACCTGCTCTTGAACAGAGGGAAGGAGAAGGGCGTGCCCTTGTAACGAGCCCTACTGCGTGCTGAGCGCCGTGTGGGGTGATCTCCAGGCCTTCCGTTAGGGAAGTGGTCTTAGGCCCTCTATAGGCAGCTGCTCCTGGGAGAACTGTGTAGGCCCTTGGGGCTGGGAATGTAAGGAAGGAGGTTTTAAAATGCACTGGGATTTGTTTTGATCACATATAGTCCGACACACAGACACGCAAATGACTGTCGTGAAGGAAGACATTCTTATGTTCACAGATCCCTAGAGACAGGAGGCACCGCACACCATGCAGGGACTCATGGGGAAGCACTGGGATTGGTCAGGAGGCTGGAGGGGTGAGACCCTTCATTTTGGTTTTCATGGGAAGGAATGGACAAGGTGGACAAATGTTCAGGACTGGCTAGTTTGAGTCATTTTGTCGGGCTCTGAGGCATAAGGACCACCCCTGGTTGTCTGATTCCTGGCCCTGGGCTGGTTAGGGCAGGGGGCTAGTGGCTCAGTTCATAAAGGAGGTGGTCGAGGGTGGGGCTCTGGATTGGCTGTTGTGTGTGGAGGAGGCATGCTTGCAGGAGAGTGGTTTGTTACCTCTAGAAACTCACAAGGCCCCAGATGCCAGAGATCACAAACATAGCAAATTAGAAACTACAGTTAACCGAGGACCAGCCCAGGACTTGACTTAAAGGGGAGCAGGAAGGAAGCATGTCTGGGGATGACGACACTGCCCGGCCTGGCCCTTCACACACTCTTTGTTTGTTTTGGTTTTTTTGTCTGTCTGTTTGTATTTATTTTTTCATGCACTCTCTGTCCTCCACTCCCAAGGGTGAAGCAGTCGGAGCTGTTCGACAGGTGGAGGAGCCTCCAGATGTGCAAATGGGCATTGAACATCTCTGAAGCCAACCAGTTCAAGTATCTATGACTTACCTGTCCCCCCCAGCCGCCCCCCTTGTGTGGTCCTCGGGCAGCCTCTTTTAGCTTTTCCTGGTCCTGCAGAGCCCAGCCCCCCAGGGGCATCCTCCCCGGAGCTGGTCCTGATGGGGCTTTGGAATCTGGGGGTTGGGGAGGTTCTGGCTCAGCACACAGGCTGAGGCTGGCACCTTGCTGGGCGCTGTCACCCACATTCCTGCCCTTGGTCCTGGCGGTAGCCCTGCACAGTGCTGTCATCAGCAGTACAGCCCCTGACAGTGAAGTGATGTCCTTGAGGTCTCCAGCAGGCCCATGTGTTAAGGCACATTAAGCGTCTTTCATGGCCTTGTCGTGCTCCCCACCCCGCTCCTGGGGCAGCTGCTCTAAGTCAGCAGTCCTCTCCTTCTCAGGGCACTTGGGTGCCCACAGCGTAGACCAGACATCTGAGCCCTGCTGTCGATTACTTCTTAACCAAAACTGACAGATGATGGGCTCCTAGGAGGCAACAGCTGTATCTTAGAGTTTTGCCTTTGAAAGCTACGCAACTAGCAGGTCGCCACACTCTTAGTGATTCACGGTGAACTGTAGGGTCCTCGCCACTCCAAAATTCTGTGAGCTTGTGGTATGATTTTAGTGCAGATAAACCTTATCTAGTGGAATTGACAGGATCCTGGGGGTGAGTATAAATGGGATTTCAGCAACTCAGGTCGTAGGTTGAATGTACTGAGGAGCCATCTGCGTGCAGAAATCCTACACGGGAAGCTGTGAACAGCAAATAACACCAGGTATTTTGCACTTTCTTTGTAAGTCACTTGCTCCAGTTTGCTGCAATTCTGGGTCAAGTCTGGAGGCAGAGTGGTTTTCAGTGGCATGTTTGAGAAATGTGCCAGCAGCTCCAAACCAGAGGGCTCTGTGAGACTGCAGAGACCCACCCATCACAGAAGGAGGACGTGGGGAGCAGGTCCAAGATCTGTGCTGCAGATACAGCCCCAAATCCGTCTTTGGAGAGAAGCATTAATGCGGGCAGTGCATGGCGGGGAGACTGGAGTGTCCCGAGTGTGTGGCTGATAAGCACTCAGCGTGAATGAGGTCAGTGAGATGCCAAAGGATGTCCAGGCTGAGAGCTGGGCCAAAGCCTCATCAGTGGGATTCACACATCTAAGGAAGCCACGAAGCCACAGGAAGATGCAGCAAGAGAAAAACTGGGATACATGTGGGAGCCTTTGGCAGGGATCAGCCAGCACTACCCAGGGAGTGGCTCGGAGGGAGCTGAGACCCTTCTGGGGTGACAGAATGGTTTCAAGTGTGGGGAAGAGAGGTGACATCAGGTCTTGCTATGCTCTAAACGGGAAAAGCTTCAAGGCTTCCTTCCTTCAGAAACCAGGTTGCACTTTCTGCAGGAAATTTTCCAATATCAACCCACCCTCCCAATTTCTGACTCTCCCCTATTCCTAAGACAGTCTCTAAAGGATGGAAATGGCACATTTCTGTGCGTCTTGCTTTTTGACCCCATCAGGCAGGGAAAGTAAGCCTAGTTGAGAGTCAGACGTGGGGGCCAAGAACGAAGGAAGCGCTCTCACCCCTGGGTTTTCTGTAAGAGCTGGACAAGGGCATGCTTCTGGGAGGCAGTAGGACCCTTAGCGGCTCTTGTGAATGCTCACGTGAGGCCTGTTTCAGCCTGTGATTGACGGGAGCTGGTTGTTGACCATCCGTGTGTCTGATGTTGTGCAGGGTCCAGAGAGGGAGGGGCCCTGCCACCGGGAGCTTTCATTCAGGCGGGGGTGGGGGTGGGGG